AATTCACAGCATATATTTCAATGACATTTTCGTAATAATAGTATTACGAAAATGTCATTATTATGATGCGCCAGTACGTCGTCCACCCCCACCTACCTGAACCCCAAAACACAATAGGCAATGTCGATTATCACGCCCTGCGGTTAGCAGTAAACCCAATCTAACTGTTTTCACCCCATGCATGATGGACAAGAACAACACCCAGTGCAGACTTCGTTATCGTGTTGGTGTATCACAGTGCAGTGTGCAGTCTGCGTTATGAACTGATGGCATTGTTATCTGGCACTTTTGCTAATACTTCATGTAGGCTATAGCTGTACCATCCACACAATACCCTCCGAACGTTTACCTGCTGACGTCCCAAGACTGATGGCATTGTTATCTGGCACTTTTGCTAATACTTCATGCAGGATAGCTGTACCATCCACACAATACCCTCCGAACGTTTACCTGCTGACGACCCAAGCTTTGGTAGAGTATAAGTACTCCATCTGCGGAAAGAACTGCTTCGTCCTTTGTGGACTTATCAGCGCAGCACAGAGAAAATGAGGAACCTGATAGCAATAAAAAATAAAATTTCCAAAGCCAGATATTAAACCAGGACGGAACGTACCTTGCCAGAGTACTCAAACTGACAAGTCAGTGAGCTCTGCAGCTCTGCTCTGTGTGATTATGTAGATCATTGCCTGTCTGCTGTGCGATGAAACAGTGGACTTGTGGAGCTTTGGAGAGTAGATCTACTCGTACTTTGAACTAAGCACTCCAATAAGTTAGGAGAGGGCCTTCGGTTGTGTGCGTGTGTGTAGGTGTAGCACATTTCTCTCCCCCTCCTCTCTCTCTCTCCCCCCCTCCTCTCTCTCTCTCTCTCTCTCTCTCTCTCTCTCTCTCTCTCTCTCTCTCTCTCTCTCTCTCTCTCTCTCTCTCTCTCTCTCTCTCTCTCTCTCTCCCTTCTCTGCTATGGTGATCAAAATGGAAAATATCAGATAGTGCGATGGCTGTGTTAACGCCGTGGACAGTAGGAGCTATTTTAAGACACGGCTCGCATGGTGCTCTGGCTTGCTCACATACATACAGTAGCCTACAATGCACCAGTCACTCTCTCCCCACTCCCCCCCCCCACCTTAAATCATTCAATGGCTTATTATGCAGTGAATGGACGTAATGAGAGATGTGTAGGCGAGTGGCAAGCTCTTCATCTTTAAACATAATAATGGTTTCCACGGGTGGGAATATTTTCATTTGACAAAGTGCTTGGAAAAGCTTGCTGGTCTAGCAGAACGATAGTAAAACAGCCGGTTTCCATGTGTCTCATCCCGTCCATGGAACTCTCTGCTGCAACACCCAGGTGTGTTATGACGGGATGTGCTCGAAGAGAGCCGGGTGCTAACTTACAGTTCTGACCAATAGAAATCCGACTCTCTGAGGGTGGGGGGGGGGGGGGGAGCCGAGAGCTCACTCAGCACGTGATCACATGATAGGGATTATGTTCATTGTGCAATACTGTCGCTAGCTTCACTATTCCCTGTCAGCGAGAGTACGGCTGGAGGGTGTCCTTTGTCCACATCCACAAACCAGCTGCATGTCCGAAGCAACGGAATTGATATTCTGTATAGAAACCATGAGTAAACAAACAGCAATCATTGATAGATACACTGTACAGTCAGATCTCGCTTATCCAGTTCTCTTTTATCCGGATCCCTCGCCATCCGGAAGAAAGTCATTGGTTACCGATTTACAGCATATGCCATGCATACACACAGTATGTGTGTTCGATTATCCGGTTCCCTCGCCTATCCCGATATTTTTGTGGAAAACGGATGTGTGCGGTTATGCGAGGTCTGACTGCACACACTGCATACTGTGTGTGTGCATGCATGAGAGTAGGTATGGTACATGGACCATGTGTGTATGTGTATGCGTGTTCCTTTGTGTGTATGTTACTCAACGACGCAAAGCAACAGACCACCC